AGAGCCACTGTGGACTGAAGCGTGCATCGCCAACATACAGGTGCACTTGCCAATGTAAAAGCATAACCTGAAGTAGATCGGCGCTTGTCAAGATCTCCAGCATAATCTGAATCCACATATCCAATACAATCCTGCCCATTCTTCTCATCCTTCTGGAATACTAAACAAACATCCACGGTGTCTTGAACATACCGTAGAATCCACTTCACGGCCTCCCAATGACCCTTCCCGGGGTCGTGCATGTATCTCGATACCATGCTCACGGCCTGTGACAAATCTGGCCTCGTACACACCATCGCATACATCAAGCTACCTACTGCACTGGCATATGGGAACTTCGATATATAATCTCTGTCCTCAACTGAAACAGATGACATCAACACTGAAAGCTTGAAGTTGGGAGCCAATGGTGTGCTAACTGCTTTTGCATTACCGTCAAAGCTGAATTTCTTCAACATCTTCTGCAAATAGCTCTTCTGTGTAAGTTTCAAGCTCCCTTTCACCCTGTCTCTCTCGATCTCCATACCCAATATCTTCTTTGCCTCTCCAAGATCCTTCATCTCAAACTCGGATGACAGCTCATCTTTTAACTTTTGAATAGCCGAAGAATTCCTGGAAGCAATAAGCATATCGTCAACATATAAAAGCAAATATATGTGCTCACCATCATGTAGCTTGTGCATATAAATACATGGGTCATATGGGCTCCTCGTGTACCCTCAGCCAATCATAAAGCCGTCGAATCTCTTATACCACTGTCTTGGTGACTGCTTCAAATCATAAAGAGATTTCTTCAGCTTAAAAACCAAATCTTTCGTTCCTGCAGCTTTGAAACCCTGGGGTTGTGCCATGTATATCTCCTCATCTAAATTACTGTGTAGAAAGGTTGTCTTCACATCCATCTGGACCAAATCCAAATCTAACTGTGTCACCAACGCCAATAAAATCCATATAGACGAATGCTTCACAACGGGTGAAAATACCTTGTTGTAATCAATGCCCTCAAGCTGTGCATATCCCTTGGCAACTAATCTGGCTTTGAACCTTATGTCCCCAATAGAAGATCCCTCATTCTTCGCATATACCCACTTGCAACCAATAGCTTGCTTACCCTTAGGTGGATGTGCAAGTGTCCAAGTGTCGTTCTTCTGAAGAGACCGCATCTCCTCCTTCATAGATTCCCTCCACCTAATCTAATCGGGGCTAGACTCTGCCTCCCTGAATGGGCTAGAATCATATCATCAACGACCTCCACTGATAATGCATATGGGACCATGACATCATTAGGCCTAGCTAGCCGACGAATCTCTCTCCTCGGTCTATCTGCTGCAATGGACCTCTAAACATGACCCTGTTCATGAGTCCCATAATCCACTATATCCTCTATCTGCCCGGTTATCATCTCATCTCCTCCTAGTGTCACCTCTGTAGGAGCCTCAATGGATACAGTGCTCTCTGGAGTGGGTGGAGTCACATCATCCTCTACCTGCTGTGATATCTCTCCTGTCTGGTCTCCCTCCACCTGCTGAGGGGCTCGAGGCCTCATCATGTATACCTCGTCAAATATGACATCTCTACTAATAACTATCTTCTTGTCTTGTGGATCCCATAACTTGAAGCCTTTGACTCCATCTCTAAATCCCACAAAGACTGCTTTCCTCGCTCTCGGATTTAATTTACCATCACTGACATGATAATAAGCTGGACACCCGAATATCCGAAGCGACTCATAGTCACTAGCCACCGAACCAAACCAACGCTCTAAAGGAGTCTTTCCGTCTATCGCAGTGCACAGCAACCTGTACACGAGATGGCTCGCATAAACTAACGCCTCGGCCCAAAAGGATCTAGGCAATCCACTCTGCGTCATCATACACCGCACCTTCTCTAGCAAGGTATGGTTCAATCTCTCAACCACACCGTTCTGTTGTGGTATCTCTCGAACTGTGAAGTGTCTTCTAATGCTGTGATCCCGGCAAAACTGTAGAAACGGATCACTCTTGTACTCTCCACCGTTATCTGAACGTAGAGTCTTCACCTTTCTACCTGTCTGCAGCTCCACTTTCTTCTTCCACTCCACAAAAATATCCAGGACCTGATGTTTATGCTTCATCGGGTATACCCAATTCCTCCTGGAATAATCATCAATGAAAGTGACAAAATAGTTGGCCCCACCAAGAGATGTGTTCTTGGAAGGACCCCAAACATCTGTGTGAATGTAATCCAAAGTACCTTGGGTGTTATGAACAACGGTGCCAAACTTCACTCTAGTCTTCTTCCCAAGTACACAGTGCTCACACAGCTCCATCTTGTAGGTCTTAACATCTTTTAATAGCCCCTGTTTTTCCAATGACTGTAGGAACTTATCACCTGTGTGTCCAAGTCTCATGTGCATAAGGTGGTGGTGTCCTCCGCTGTAGTAATAGAAGCTGCCAGACCCCCTGTAACTGTCTTGCCCTTCAAGTAGTATAGGTTGTTTTCCCTGACACCTCGCATCACCACCATAGAACCCTTCGTGACCTTCACTGTAGCATCCTCTAAGATCATTCGATATCCTGCTGCCTCCAAAGTCCCAAGAGAAATGATGTTCTTCGTCAACTGCGGCACGAACCTCACTTCCTTCAATTCCCTCACTACACCATCATGCATCCTAATCCGGACTGAACTAAAATCACCAATAGGGCATACGTGGTCATTACCCATAAGCACAACATCCCCTCTTTCCAGCTCCTCAAAGCTAGAAAACCACTCCCTCTTAGGGCAGATGTGATATGTAGATCCCGAATCCATCATCCACTCCGTGGAATCTGTATAGCAAACTGACAGTAAAGCAGGGCATGAATAGCCTGAAGAATCTGAATCTGAATGCTCACCAATAGCTTTTGCAACATTCACCTCTGAAGCTTGTGCAGCTTTCTCCTTATTCTTCCCGGCTTTTTCTTTTCACTTTGGGCAGTCAATCTTGCAATGTCCTTCTTTTTTACAATACCGACATTGATTCCTACCAACACTCTTATAGGCACTCCTATTCCTTGATTTTGAGCGGTTGAACTGGCGACGGTTTGGATCTCGGCCTCGAACTGCTAACGCATCTCCCGATGCCTTCTTGGAGGGTTCACCATCACTCTTCCTCAACTCATAGTTCACCAAAGCTGAGGTCACCTCCTTGTAGCTGACTGTAGTTCTTCCATTGATCATAGTGAGAACAAACGTACCATAATCATCTTCGGGCAACGAACACAGAAGTAGCATCGCCTTGTCTTCATCCTCAACTATAATGTCCACATTGGCCATATCTGAAAGTAGCTTAGTGAAGTTGTTAACATGCTCCCTGATGGAAACCACCCTCTTCATCTTGAACTGGTAAAATCTCTTCTTCAAGTGAAGCCGATTCTCAATGCTCTTCGTAAGATATTTCTCATTGAGTGTTTCCCATATCTTCTTCGCCGACGTCTCGTTCATGACATCATAAATAAGATTCGGCGTCAAGCATGACCTAATAACACCACAAGCTCTACTGTTCATCTTCCTCCAAACCTTATCATCCATCTCTGCGGGTTTCTCTTTTAACTCAAAAGTCTCCTCCATATTCTGTGCATCCAAGGTATCATCACCTGACACCTCCACAATCAAAAATTGATCTTACCATCGAACTTAGGAACATCAATCTTCGTGTTATTGATACCCAGACTCTGTATCACATTTGTTTGAGACGAACCTGATGTGCTTGCATCTCCCATGTTATCGATCTAGCTCTGATACCAATTGTTGAGTGCGGCGGAAGCTTTCTTGTGCAACACGAACAATAACTCGAACTAAACCATAACTAATACGCAAACACAATCACAGCAAGAACAAACAATTTACGTGGTTCGACAAGTTGCCTACGTCCACGGGGCAAGGAGGGGGGGAGTTCTTACTATTAGAAATCAGAGAATACAAGTAGAGTTACAAATCCCTCAGATCAAACCCTAAAATAAAGCTCTTGATCTCTCACAACTCTCCCACAATTGGATGCAACAATTCTCTCACAAAGACTGCTCAAATTCGTCCTTACATTACCCTAAACAATCAGGTTTTGAGTTATATATAACTCAGAAATAAAATGGGTCAAAATCCAAAAGGCCCAGCCCAAACAGACTGTGGTCGACCGCGCAGGTTCACGGTCGACCGCGGCGATCGAACGAAACACAAAGCCGAGGCGACCGCGGCGGTCGACCGCCACCAACTCCGAATCCCAGTAGGCTTCGTGCACGTTGACGGTCGACCACGACGGTCGACCGCCAGACTTTCTGGCTGATTTCTTTGCTATTTCATGTAATTCTTCAGAGGGGTAAGAAATTCTTTAGTAAGTTTTGTTGTTTTGAGGGTTAATGAGGGGTTAGACCCTCTTAACCCCTCCATAACCTGTCGCCAAAAGAAGCCTAAAAGTTTTGGTGCTGATTTTAGTCCCTTAGAACTTTTATGTTCTGCTTTTGTGATGTTATATGCTCTGAGTTTTGACGCTGTTAATTTTGGTAAAACTGTTTCTATGGTTCAGCGATATTTTTTTTAACTCAAGTACGCTTGAGGTGGTTCATACACAGAAATGCTTATGGTAAGTGAAAGATAATTCTATTAAGAAAAAGAAGTGATTTTCAACCTTATCTACTAGAATTTTATTTTCATTCTTTTTTAAGAACTTTTTTTAATTTCATTCTGTTATTAAGTATCTTTTTTTAATTTAGATAGAAGTAGCTGTACACTAAGTAATTCCTTTACACAGAATTAATAGGACTTAGTGACATAATTATTATAGTAAAAACAGTTATAAACAACTTTAGCAATAGGATATGATATCGATGCATCCACATTTTCATAAAGTCTCGGATGTGACAGTTTATAGGTTTCCCTGTGAACTGTAATTTGCAAAGCATAAATTATCTAGTACACATTAGACTTGATGGTTAGTTTAACGGAATTCACTTTTTTGAGATAAAAGAGAAGTGGATATATATAACCTGTGATTTTCTTGTAGATTATGCAGCTGCTGCCTCAAACTTGTTGCCTCATTCTGCCAGAACTGGTCAGTGAAAATACACAGTTTTTAGTCGTAACACACTTGCTTCGTACAATAATTATGGTAAAAATAGAAGAAAATTAAAATAGTGATTGCGGGACTACTGGTTTTTATATTCCTTGACTTTGGTAATGATTTGAGAAATGACCCACCGAACTTCGGGATATTTATAAATTTATCATGTTTTCTTTGAATAGCATACTTCATCAAATATATAAATCTTCTTTCATGTACTTAACCAACATTCTAGTATAACTGATTTAAGTAAAGAAAACATGCCTTGGCTTCTGAGTTTGCATTCACGAGGCGTTGCTGCTCCTGTTTTGTCTCGGTGTATCGGTCAATCACTGATTTAACACTGAAACGCGTATATTTTTCATTAGCCATTTGTAATGGGGAAAAAATCTTTCATGATCTGAAGTTAAGATTCAAGATACCATAAAGTTTGGACCCCGTAACCCGTTACCTTTCCCTAACCACAACATGGGCAAACGTTTTGCCATCTGGCTGTAAAAAGCCATCAAAACATGACAATATCATATTTAATCATTTCGCATAACAAAATTATAGTGAACCAAGTTTATTCAACAGAATCAAAGTAATTTCAGGAGATTATGTATTCAATACATCTGGAAAATTATCGCATTCATCACAGGCTAACAATTTTTACATATATTTCAAGCACGCAAACTGTTGGGAATAACAAGCATAAAAACCAATCCAAAGCAACACAAAACAAACCATACATGAATGAAAGAAAAGCAGACAGCTAGAAACATTTTATTAATAATACTTCAAATTCAAAATACATTACAGAAGTGCCAAATCGCCCTCTTAATAGAGGACTAGCCTTGAAGAAACTATGCCCCACTTACGGTAGCGTTGGGTCTGTACAGTACTTCCGAGGATGCGACGCTTGCAGTTCAAAGAAGCGCTCTCTTCTTGTGAACACCTCGACTGCTTCTTCAGATCAGCAGAATCTCAAAAACTAAACAGCTAATAGAATTACTAAAAGAATAAGAAGAAGAGAGGAGATTTCATTTTCCGTTCTATGTCTTTCAAATGATCAGAAGAGGCCCCTCTATAGGGTTCATAGGGAGACAAGGATTAAAATTCTAGTTATTGCAACGTTTGTAATATCTGCAATAAAACCTATTCAATCCGTGTAACATTTGTAACGTACGAAACGTTGTTTTGAGCACATGCAAAACGTTTAAGCTATTTTAAAGAAAGCACGTGCAAAAAGAGCGCGCGCCCGGGGCTCGTGCATGAGCCCGCGCGCATGCACGAGCCCGATCGCACGGTCCCGATCATACGGTGCCCGCTCGCTGATATACCAACACAAGTGTAGAATACTAACACCTTTGTTATACCATAATAACACATGTGTTAATTTAAACCAACTAAAATGCATTTAATTAGCCAATGTGAGACTAAAACTCACATACTACTTATTAAAAATATTTTAATTTTCATCTATGGAATCTAATCATTAAATGATATCTTTCCATAAAACCCCTCTAAAATTCATTTATTTTAAAAGCAACACCAATGATGCCGCAACATTCACGCGTAGAGACATATTTGGACCACCACTCAGCATAGAAGACTAAGCAAACTTGAGAATAGTTCTAAACTCTATAGAACTTTCTATATAATCCAACACAACCATGACAAATCACACATTTTCTCTCTAGGTTATGAAGAATTGATAGATAAATTGCGCCCCGTCCAATTAGGAATCATAAAAAATATATCCTTGTTGAACTAGGCATCACCCTTTGTTAAGATAGAAATTGCAAACAGGATTATTATTTAATAAAAATTGATAATAGTTGTAAGCGTCAAAAATTACCTATAGGTCCCGGCACACGGCTCGAGACAGAGAGAAGACGATGAACGTCGCTATTTGAGTCACAGGAGCTCATTCGACAATTACAAACACATGAAGTTAGTCAACGGATCATACGAAGCAACGGAATTTCGGAATAACGGAAACAAGAGCTGATCGGGAGCCCCGCGTCATTTACGAAAGGCGGAGCACCCCTCGTGTCCCATTTATTCCACATTTGATTCAATCATGGGATCCTATAGATCTTCTTGTCGACTTTCTAACGCATCTTGAACCGCAAAATTCCGAGTCCGGACGATAAATTTATGGTGGAAACAAGCTCAATGCGCCAAAACTAAAAAAAGCCAAACCAAGACACCCAGAAGTGTCTGCAATACAAAAAACACTGATTTTGGTTGTTTTCGACGGTTTTTCAATCGTTAACCGTCTGGATTTACTCCAACTAATCTGATAATATGGTTAAGTGGTTTCAACTAAAGATAAGAGGGAATCAATCGTTCTTATCCGAAAACAGTGGTCCTGAAGCCTATAAATACAGCCCTAGGGCCTTTATTTTTTCAGATATGGAATTCTCGAGCGTCGGCGAAGCCTTGCTGAATTTAGGACTGAAGACCCACGAATTTTAGAGAGGAGGAGGAGACTTCAGTGGATTCTTCAGTATAAAGAAGAAGAGTTCGTCAGATCTGCAACCCGATTCGTCCCTTAAGATTACCCCGTTGCAATGATCTTAAGAAGAGCAATTATCTCACTATTGCCGAGATAAGCGCTTCGGTTTCTTGATTCCTTAGCGAATCAACGAAGCTCCGGATCTGATCTGATCGTTTGGTGGTCCATGGATATCAATGTCCCCATCACAGGCCAAGATCCCACGCAAGCAGAAGACCGATAAATGATCTCTGTGCTGTTTGACGAGAATTGTATTTTTATTGTGTAAAAGTCTTATAAAAAGACTATCTTTCTGTATTTTCATTGTAACGACTGAAGTTGTAATGAGTACCTCAATGAAGAAACCAATTTTCTACCCAAACAAGCTGGCGACCACAGTGGGAGCCAACAGCCTCGCTGTCGAGGCTGTCGTGATGCAACCGATAATCAAGATCCTGGTGTTCGAAGAGGTCGAATACGAATTTGACCAGCAGAAATTCGAGGAATATATTTCCTCCTCCTCCGCTAGATCTTCTTCTTGCAAATGCAGGAAAACCACTACCGCGAAGAACGTGCCTTCAGATCTGAAGACCAGGGCTGATGATCTGAACCCGAATGCAGTGGAAGACCCCTCTCCAGCCTCCAAAGAAACCAGATCCAACGTTCGTGACAACTCCTCGAAAGTCAAAGAGTTGCCTATTGAAATTGCACCAGTGCTGATGAAGAGGGCTCGTCAAAGGCACCGTCAATATCTCGCATGCCAATTTGCCAAGGCTTTGAAACCTGTTGACGGGATCTGCTATAATGCAGATCTGAAACTCAGAAGGCGCCAAGTGTTCCAGCAGCAAGCTTCGGGAACCTCCTCCTAACCACCTACTAACGAATGGGTTCGTGTCAAATAGAACCGTTCCACTCTGGAGGAGCGCATTCAGAAGCGTTGCACACTTCGTGCGCATGCCCAGATCCTGGTGTGAAAAGCACAAGAAATGCAAAAGGAAGAGGTGGTTAAGAGATCGCCGAGATCCAAACAAACTTGGATGCCAAAGTCTAAATCAACGCCTATGGCAAAAGCAGGCGACGTTGCTCCCCAGCCTTCGTCAACTTCGGATCCCTCTCCTTCCGCTCCCACGCCTCCGGTAGAATTCTACGGCGGTATGGACCTCCCCAGAGTTAGAATTCTATTGAAGGATCACCTCGGTTCTCTACCCGAAGATCGAGGTAAGACGCCTGTTAAGGAAAGCTTAGGACCGTTGAAGGAATCCCGAGCAAACATCCAGACTGGGGGTCATACACGACTTCCTAACAAGTTGATTCTTGTAACCGCCTGCTTGGCGGTGCATATAGAAGGCCAGGAGCCCGTTAATGTTCACCCTCAGAAAAGTATGATTCCAAACGAGTGACTCCTGCAGACGCCAACAAGGCGTTGTTTACTCAGAAGAAAATGCGTTAAGCAGATGAACGCGTTATACCTGAGAATTCATGTAAACAGCCGATAGATTACTCTGACCGCAACATTGATGAGTTGTACTATCAGGCTAGGGGTACAAATAAATCTCAAAAGAGAGGTACCCAGAAAGTGGACTCTCACTGTCCGTATACCAAAATTATCAGGGCAGTATTATCAGTGTGTAGCTGCCCCAAGACCGCTCCACAGAGGGTCTCGATATTCCAACGGCTTTCCTATAAAACGTCGGAAACTAAGCCAAGGCGTTTCCGTAGAAAAAGATCAGCTGCGCAAGACGACGAACTCCCATAGGTCACTATCAATATGGCTGATAAAGGAATGTCAACGCGAAGTTTCAGTTCTTGTCATTTTTCGAACGTATCCCAACGTATAACTCGGTTACGCGTAGGAACTACTAGGCGTAGGGAATATCAGAGGATGAATAGCGGATTATCCTCAGATAATGAAACATCAGATGTGAACTCTGCCATCGCTTCTGACAATACGGTGTCCAGCATAGGATAATATCGTGAGGCGTTCATGATCAACGCGAAACAAATAACCAAGATCATTGAGGTTGCTTTGGCTAAGCAAAAAGAGAACTTCAAGTTTGAATTAGAAATAGCCATGATACAGATGAAGGAAGAGCATGATCGACAGATGCAGGCTCAGTCCAATCAACTTGGTGAATCTAGCCGCCGCACCCAGAACACCACAGTTGATAGCGATCCAGAAGTGGACGAAATCATCATGGTCGACGCAGCCCCCAAAAATATTGGGGGTGGTTCAAATGCACCCCTATAGATAACAACACTAGGGGTGGTCCCACCAAAGATAATAATACCGAAGGTGACCATATTATTCCTCTTGGAAATTATCCAAAACACGATATAGACGAGGATGAGAAGATAAAAGACCTCAAGAGCAAAATTAACGCTCTAATGTCTGCTCGAGAGGTAAAGAAGACCGGCATTCTGTGTCCTTACCCGAGAGAGTGGGATTCGAACCCGTATCCCGCGAAGTTTAACCTGATCAACTTCACGTTGTTCGACAGGAAAAGCTCGCCCACTCAGCATCTAATCTACTTCAAGTCCCACTTGGACACAATCTTCGACAATGAAGCCTTGATGGCTCGGTCATTCATCGACACCCTTCGCGGGCCTGCCTTCGATTGGTACCGTCATCTTAAGCCTAGAAGCATCAACAGTTGGGACGATATAGAGAGCTCATTCCTCGGTAACTTCTTTGATGATGACGCCGAGGTATCTATCAGGACACACTTCGATGAGAAACAAAAAGACGGAGAAATAATCATCGACTTTGTTAAACGCTTCCGGAACAAGGTGATAAATTGCCGAGATCTGATCACGGAGGAATTCATCCTACAAACTTGTCACAACAACCTCTCTTTGAACGT